CACGTTATGAAATGAACAAGAAAATACCACTTTATACCGTAGTGCAGTGGGCCCGTAACTTGGCTTTTTGACGTGTTTCTGCAGCAATGTAAAATGTCCAGGAAGTAGACCGTCCATGCTTGGAACAGCATGCTCTCATCTACATCCGGATATGGTTTTTATTACAGAGGCTTGGCTGTCATCAGACATTTGGGACCAGAAAATCTGTTTACCTGGCACTATCTTATCCTAAAAGCACGGGCGGTCCTAAGAAGAAGAAAGAGTTGTCACATATATTAGAACGTACCGAAAAACGGAGGAGGCGACTGATAACATTCAACCAACTTCCAGACTCCTTATGGTGCCACGTCACCATGAACAACAAAACGGGTCCACAAGTCTCCACCATGCACGACAGAGCCTAAAGAGCAAATGCCCACCGAGATTTTGTCATCTACCTCAACAGCTAATGACTGCTTGTTCCGCAGTGCAGACTTCAAAATACCGGTACTTAACCGAAATTTGGAAGTTGTTAACATAAGTCTTCCGAACATAGACTTCAGCAGGCCTAAAAGAGGAAGTTGAAGAAGATACGCAACGTCTCGTTGTCACTAGAAAGGAAACTACCGGCCCTTGAATGCATTACGGCCGGAAGAATGGCACTCTTTATGGATAGGCAAACAGTGTTTACACGTGAATGACATTATCTGGAGTGCTGCCAAAAGGTGCATACTGAAAGCAAGCAGACGACATCCTTCAAATACTGTTGGGTTGTTCTCACAACCCGAAAGGTAATAGAGGGGGGGGAATGACATGTTTTGGGTATCGTACACTTCGTAAACAACCGAAAACAGCTTAGCTTGCGTAATGTAAGTGCTTACGAGGGCATGTACAAGTGTCAGAGTAACTTGGCTAAACAGCAAACCAGGGAGCCCTTATCGGTTTAAGTCGCGAGAGAAACGGGTGAAAAAAGATCTAAATATTATCACAGGGCCGAACGGTGAAGGCTTGGGTAGCGGTGAGACGGTGGAACTGTCAAGCAACCAATTTGAGGAGCAGTCCAACGCAGTCATCCATCTATCATCAGCGACCAGCAATGTAGCAGACTTCTAGGGTTGTGGCACAAAGTTGACGAATGCAGAGTTCTCGTCAGCCGAAGTGTCTGCAAAATTTCCAACACCCAGAACAGAAAAATCTCAGGGCCGTGGCGACATAAAACCAGTGGTTCTGCGGAGTTGTGCGAAGTGCTAAGAATACCGATTTGCAATGTATTGGCGCACGCGTTGGAAGCTACTAAGCTTTCTAAAGAATTGAGGCGTTCAATCCTCTCATCGATATCCAAGGTAGGAGACTGCGAAAACCATTCAGGTAGAAGCTGACGGGACTACTTTTCATACAGTCTAGGGCACTTCAGAGTCTGGTTGCGGATGTTGCCCTGGACTTGTCGGATGCAAGAAACATCGTTCGTCCCACGAAGGATGGTTTCAAAACCAGGAGCGTATACATCACAAACTTGATGACGGCCTGGATGATTGAGCCGATAGATGGGATGGCAACCAATAGCAAGCGGTCCGCGCCATCTTTCTGAACTTAGCCAAATCTTTTGGTGGTATGCATAATGAACAATGCTTGCTGAACCTGCAAAAGTGGGTATTAGCGAACCACTCATAGCACTGCTTTTGGTACATCTACAGGGCAGAGGATTCTGCACTAACGTAAGCCGAATTCGGCCAGCCTGTAGAAGTATAAGAACAGGAGTTTCTCGGGGAGTGGTCCTTTGGCCACCTTTATCTTTGGAATCCATTAGTGACCTCTTCGTCCATTTTCCTGCCCCACGACATCATTATGGAAGCCGTACCCAGGATACTTCAAGATGATCTATTATGTCAGGAACCCCTGACGACGAAGAACGGTTTGGGCGAGGTGCTGGCGGAGAGATAAAGGACCGAACCTCTCTGACACACTTACTTCTAGTACCAACTATAGGTGGATGGTGGCAAAGGCGAGCACCACCGCACACCTTCTAAGAAGGCAACTCAGGCCCATAACCCTTGAAATATTCCTTGTAGACTTCAAAGCTGAAACAAAACTTCACTTAAGGGTGTTCCACATGGTAGTCCCCACCATACTGATTGGAAGACTCTGGGACTCTTGATAGGGCACACGGAAGGACTACTGGGTAGTTGTCACACTAAGGCAAGGCATTTGAGCAACGCATTAAATGACTCAACTTGTTCACCCTAGGCTAACGAAGGAACAGAGCACAGAAACAAAGAAGTTAGGCTTAAAATGTACCACTTTTCATCTTTCTTAAGACTTACGTTCGAGCTTATATTTGGCAAGAACTAGTTGCTTGGTTTGCTTGAATCCAAACAACGTAACCTTCCGTCTGCCTTCTTCCACTAACCTGCGATTTCTGCTCAGCACATTTACGGCCAGAAATCATAAATGCCCGTGATCTTTTCAGAAACTCGTAGCCTCCTAATCAACTCAATTTACGATTCCTAAGTGCACACTAACCACAAAACCCACATCATCGGAGCTAAGTGCAGGAAAGTAGAAGAGGGTTTCTCTCCCACTAACTGAAAAGACAGAACACCAAGAACCAAGCCCAAGGAGCTAGACATAACAGGTCAGCAGCTGTCAGTTTCCTACGCTCATGCCATTTATCCTAGATGCCGGACAGCGACTACTTTTGAATATTTACGAAGCCGAAAACTATCCTGTTATCACCGAAGGAGGATTGGTGGCAAAAGGAGTCATATCTAGACGTTGGGGTTCACTAACGCAAGCTCCCTCTACTCTCGAGGTGATGGAGCACTACAACTAAGCTCGAAATAGGTGTAACGTTACTATCCGCCGATGTCGAATATATTTTGAAATATGTCCCGTCCAGGCTGCACTGTGACGCCCAGAGAGGTTAATTTCTTTTCTGAACCATAGGAATAAAACTTACGGCGGCATACTCGACCTAATCAAAGAGAAAGAAGCCGATTGTTCAACTGAGGACGATAAGTAAAAGGCGGAAGCTGTGTCTGGACGTTTTGCCAACGTCTTTTCACAGGTGTCTCCTGTGGACGCCAGTTCAACAGTGGAAGCAATAGCATGCAATAGAACATATTCCGGGGATATCGATCTCAGTGGGATATTTTGAACACGAAGCAGACAGGTCAACGGGGTCAGATGAGCTGTACCAATTGCTGCTCAGAGAGCTTGTATCCAACGCAGCCACCTTATTGACTGTTGTATTTGGGCCGTCCCTCAGTGAAGGTGCACCCTGTGCTTGGAAGGATGCCATAGCCACACCTGTCTACAAGGCAGATTTTAGACAGCACCCATCAAATCACACACTGACAAGTTTGACGAGCACCGTAGTAAAAATCCGGGACGCGGTAATCAAGAAAGTTCAACAGGTCATTTAGAGAACAACACTGTATTGTCCCGTTCTCAGCACGGCTTTCTCAGAGATTTCTCTTGCTCGACGAACTCTGTCACAGTCAAAGAAGGCAAGTTAGGTCAAGGAATGATGGGGCCCTTGCAGTTATCATTTCCATAGACTTTGGCAAGGCATTCAACAAGGTACCTCATTCCAGGCTGCTCGGGAAAATGAAAAGTTTTGAAGTCACCCGGGATCTACTTGCATGAATCAGGCAGTCCCCGGTTGGTGGGAGACAAAGGGTGAGCACTAATTCTTTCCCCTTGGAAGTCGGTAGAGTGGGGTTCAGCAAGACACAGTCCTGGGTACCCTGCTACTTCTCCAATACGTAAATGAGTCGCCAAATATCACGAAATCCCCTATGGTTCACTCCCCTGATGATGCAGAAATCTGGCTGGAACTTTGGGATGACGAGGACATACTTGCACTACAGACGGACAAAAGCAGCTTGTTTGACTGGTTAGGGAAGTGGTTGATGCCTATCAGCGCATGGAAATATTTGAGCGTGCACGTGGGGTACACAGATGGCGTCACCTATGATACTGGTGGGACTCCTTCAAAATGACCTGGTAGTCACAGTGAGTCGTGAATTGAAAAACCAAGACACACTGTCGATTGATCGTAGCTCGAAGTTGTAGAACACTGTAGACATCACGCAGAACTTTTACAATTATAAACGATGATACGTTTTCCCTCTTATGTCCATTCTTAGTTAAGTCTAAACCGGAAAACTGTACACAGGTGACAAATCCCCATCTAAAAAGTGACTCAGACCTTCTGGAAGGAGTTCAAAGGGCAGCCTTTCGCATGGTTTCTTAGACAGCTGGCTTGACGCATGAAGATCGTCCTAAAGAGCCAAAACTCTCCCCTTTATGCTATCTCAGGGAGGGGGGAGATCTAATCCTGTCATACAGGACTCTAAAAAATGGCTTTCGACCCGATCTATCTTCCCTTTTCCTTGCCACTAAGTTAGAACACATCAGAAGAAATCGTGGAAGCATACAGAAGCAAATAACGAATATGGTCTCCGTAGGTTAGTGGTTCTGACGTCTGGCAAGCAACTTCTGCAACCGACTCCCAGAAGTGGTCTGCACCTTTCAGGCAACGCCCACATACATTTCTCTCTTTCTTTTTCTCTCACTCCCACTACCCTACTGTTCCCATCCAGTTGCCCTTAAAGACAGGAGTCACGACAGTTCCATAACCACCTCAGCAATCCGTGGATCCTGAATCACTGTACAACTTACTAACCCAAGAAACATCCACTCCATCGAAGCTGATATCAGGAAGGCGGAAGAGATTCCCTCGTCCACTGCAGGAGTTGACCAGACAGCCTAAACCAAGCCCTAAGAGCTAGACGCGAGAGATCAAAACTATCAGTTTTCTACGCTCTCACTGTCAATCATGGATATTGGATCAATTGTCTCGCCTTTAAGACAATTGCAGAAGCACACAAATCTGCTGGAAGACGATTAGCTTAGGCTCACAGCTTTCTTCTCTGAAACAAAAAACCTGAGTCTGACATAAATAAAGTCAAATCTATAGCCTTGTTTTTCTGAACCATCGCATGACCTTGAGAAAATCCACAAGAATAAATCTTGTGTTCCTTGTGATATTTCTCCGCCTGCTTATTTTGTTACTGAAATATTTGTTACTGTAGTTTAAAAGGAACATTGAAGGCAAGGTAAAATGACGTCTACGTTTTTTCATTCATAACATTCTTCATATGTGCTTATATATATATATATATATATATATTGGTAACTTTCTACCTTGCCAGCAAATACTTTGGGTGCACTTTGAAATTTTTTGGTAAAAATGGCACTAAAACTTAGAAATAACTGTCGAAAATGCATCGTCGCACCCAAAACTGTCAAGGGTCTTAGTGAAAAATCCAAATTTGTCAAACTGCGTTCAAAGCTTTGCCCGAAATTCCCAAATTGTCTGCAGTGCGCCCGAAGTTTTAAAAGTCAGGCATTATAAGAGGCAACACGTAGTTTATGGGAATAGATTTGGTCCATGCGTATTCTTTGGAGCAGTATACGCGATTTGCAACTGTATATTTATTTACAGAGTGATGTAATCTTCCGAAAATTTGAATTTTTGGAACAAGTGCCCAAAAGTTTGAGGCTGCGCCCAAAGTTGAGTTCAGGATTTAACCAGAAATGTAAAAGTGCACCCAAAGTCTTGGCTGGCTGGGTATCCAAAGTTACTACTAGGATATTTATAAGAATATGCATGGATACTCATATCTAGAAACCATTTAAACTTGACTTGATTTTTGGAGTAGATTTTCTGACTCCTTAGACATTCTTCGCCGGTTAGGGTATACTTTTTTCAGTAATACACTCTTACGAAGCTAGAAAAATGCCACAAAGGACGTGGAAAACCATAGCAAATAGTGTAATCTGAGGTAAGGTTTCTTTAGCTAGCATGTTTAGCTTGTCAACTGAGAGTTATGCGGTTTTTCCACGTGATTATTCCAATGTCATTAGATAAATACAATTTAGATGACTGATTTGTTCAAGTGCTTCTTACAGCCAATTATTGGCTGAGATTAAGCCACTGTTGCATGGTCGTGTAATATGTGTAACACGTCTCATCCATCCTTTGGTTTATGAAATACAAGGTGAGAAGAGCCGTCGAGTTAATTGGCAGCTAGGGTAATCAACTTTTCAGGAGGCAACTACTCTGGGTGCACTGCAGATACTTCGAAAACTCCGGAAGTTTTGGAAATTGTAGGCGAAATCTTGGGGGATTTTGAAGCTTTTGAAATTTTTGGGAAAAATATCCTGGCTTTTTAGTAAAGTTGCAGAAGACTACCGAAAAACCCGAATTGCACCCAATAATTACCGACTGGAAAGGCCCACACATAAATTGCATTCTTCAAACAAACCATCTTCATTTACATATTAATGTGAGTAAATGAATAACATGTAACTCATTCGCATTGCAGTGTGCACCACATTGATTAGGTGAATTAAAGTTTCACTATGCTTGCAAGCCTAAATTCAGAACGCAAATATCTTACCTACTAAGGTTTTCGTAAACTAATTATGTATTGAACCGGTGGCTTATCTATCTCCCACTGCTTTTAACTTCATCATCATCAGATCTATGGAGACACATTATTTTCTTAGACGAATACATTTTATCAAGAAGTCAATGCGGTGATTACAGATTTATACTCAAGTTGATCAATTTTTATAAAGTAGAATGATTGTTTATGTTAAAATTGTTAAATTTACAGCATTTTATAACCTGATTGATAAGTTGTGTAATAATGCTAATAAATAAAAGGGTTGACACTGTTAATGTATTCTCGCAACATAGGAAAGATTAAAAGCGATGAGATAAGCAACTTTAAATGACTCACATTTATCCATTCGCTATTGATTTTCGATCAGATATCCAAACGTCGGAACTCTTATCGACTTTGTTTGCTTAAGCGCGATGAACTTGCCTAATTGTAAGCTCATTGTAATTCTCACCATATAGGTAGTTAAACTGTTTTTGCCTTTTATGCATATCTTGACAGCTGATGTGGTATAACTGTAGTTGGTGAAAGTTGACAGTCCTAATCTGATGAAAAACTGCAAAATCTTGAGGAAAAAATGCATAAATTCATTCCTAACCTTACCCTACTTAAATTTTTTCGAGTGACATGAGATTCAGTACTCATACACTTTTTTCAATAATTCATACCGCTAGCTTTGGAACCTTTCCCAGTGTATAAAATACATTTAACAAACTGCATTTAGGACTTTTGGTTATAAGGGTAGTAAAAACATAAAATATTTAAGCATAAGCAGCACTGATACTTATGGGAAAGCTAGACACGTTGTATGGTATAAGTCAACATCAATAAGATTAAAAGTTGGAGTTGTTTACCTGCATTATTCTATGTATAAAATGGTGGTAATGTAGTACCAACCATGGGCAAGTTGGTATGCACAAATAATCTGACTACCATTCACTCTCTTGATGTTTGTGTCTAGCTTTATCACCTCCTTGGTTGAGAGATATTTCAACTTATTTTCTTGCAAACGTTGATGACAACTTCAGTAGGACGTCGTTTCCCACCTCTTAAAACCACTCTACCAACTTGACGTAAAGGCTTTCAACGGTTATTCAAAATCTGAAAGCAGACTTTGTCAGGCAACACCGTGGTATCTTACATCGTACATTTAATTGTATCTTTTCCAAATGCATTCAAAAATGAAGTGTGATTACTCCCTTCTGTTGTTTTTAGTTTGGTGAATATACAAAATGCATCCAACTTTGTTGAGTTAATCTATATACAGTTTCTGCAGACTCATACAAGTAAGCATTCAAACAAATTTTAGAACAGAAAACTCACTAACTAACTGAGTTTGAGTCGGAATTTATCTATGCCGTATACAGCTAGCTAGGTCCACAAGGTCTAAGAAAGGCCATTACGCTTGTCAACGCCCACTTGTGATCTTCGTTTGCGAGCCATTTAAATGTAATTTAGACAATGTAAAGTAGATTCTGTACGGTTGATTGGTAGATGAGGATGCCAAGTATGCTCTTAGAGAGGAGTTAGCTGAGCATTTATCTAAATGTGACAGCAGTGCTCATCCTGACGAAGCCTGGTGGGATATTAAGCCCCCTATAGGAAAAGTGGTAAAGACAGCTGGTAGCCTACGCTCAAAGGTTAGCAAACGTCAGTGCTATTTTGCAACATCGTCCGAACTAATTGGTGAGAGAATACGCATTCCAGCTGGCTGAAGAGAGAAAGAAAGTTGGATGTAAAATGACTAAGAGCCTGTACAATTATCGTGACCAGTGGTGGATTGTGAAAGCTAGAGAGATGGGAGAGGCATAAATGTTAGATAAAAGTAGCAACTATTAAGGTCTATTAAGGATGTCAGCAAGAAGTTGGTTAGCGAAACCGTTTGCGAAGAAATGGCACCGTGGTAACCTCTCAAGATATGCGGCTAGAAGATTGGATGAAACGCTTTGAAGCCCATCTTAACTGGTACACAGCAACGCTTCATATACCCAGGATGCAGCCCAAACCTGAGTGGAATCTAAATGTTGGTCCTTCAGTTCTCGTCGAAATCTAGAAAGTTGTATCAAACCTGAAACAGTGCGAAGCAGTTGAGCCTTAAAAGTGACCACTCGGATTTCGGAAGAATAGAGATAGGAAATTTCTAAGTAGAGTGGAGGGAATCAGAAGCACTTTCGTCAGACTGGTCTTTTCATTGATCATACCAGTCTAAAAAGGAGGGAGACAGGTTTCTTGTGACAACCATAGGGGAATTAGTTTGACTAATATCGCACCCAAGGTGCTTGGGTCCATAGTTTCGTGATACATAACTAGAGCTCAAGAGCAACAAACTCAAGAAAACCAGGCACGCTTCAGACTTGGACGAGGGTATTGATCAGATTTTCCCCATTCGACAGGTGGCGGATAATCGGTATATTTCTTAACCTAACTGTCGACTATGAGATATTGCGGCCATGTCTGTTTGTGAAAGGACTAACGAGCAAGTGTATAACGGTAATCAGAGCTCTACCTGAAGTCATGAAACCGTGTCGGGGCATACGGAAACTTATCATTTGAAGTAACGATAACTAGTGGTATCTGCCAGGCTGCTCAATGTCACCGTTCCTATTTAACTTCGTCATAGACGTACGAATGAACATAACCTTAGGCATATCTGACTTCCCAGGGATTGATCTACTCCCTGGAGGTCATCTGGTTGACTTCGAGTATGCAGACGATATCGTCCTGCTGGGTTAAGCCTCTGATAATTGTTGGGTTTTATAAAGGCATTGATAAGAAATCTCAGTATGTTTGTCATGCATTTCACACCTGTCAAATGTAAGATGATACTCCGTGTTTATAACTAAGGTTCATAGTCATTCGAGAAATAACTGTAGCTCGACAAAAACAAACGGGGATATATTGATCAGACTCTCTTCAATTAAGAGACTAGGACGTGAAGAGAACGATCGCGTTGCATGAGCCGAAGGTAAGATTTTACTGCATTGTTCGAGACGTTTTGTGGCAGTACCTGACGACAAAGGTTGTAACAATAAAGTATGCAATGCTAATCAGAGCTCTCTTCTCGAACTTATGGAACCGTGTGTAGGGTTGAGGGAAGTTACTTTCTGAGGTGACAAAAAACATTTGTGTTCAACAGGTATGTTCCTTTTCAAGGCTGTTGTCGACATTTTAATGAATGTGGTCATACTTACCATTGTCTTATCTGAGACTAGACTGCTGTTTAGGGAATAGTTCTATGTTGATTCGTTTATCCTTTTGTCTGTAAGGATTTACGGTCTGAGATTGCTAAGAGTTATGCTTACTAATATGAAATCTTAGTTTCACAGGTGTCCAGTTCCTATAAAAAACAGTGCAGCAACCCATAGTTTGATGTCTCTTAATGTGTATCCCATAGGGATTCCTGAATACTATTCCAGTTTCGGTCTTTTGGTTCATTCTTTTTATCAAATTAATAACTTAATTGTAGTTATTGTCTCATAATTTCATGACAAAATCTATTATTACTTTAAACTTTCGTTTATCGGTTCCCACCAGTATATGGAATTGTAGCCTATGGGTTTAGGGAGTGGACGTCCAACCAACGGATCACAGGCTTGAACACCACTCCACCTGCCAAGGTTTGGGCAGTCAGATAGTATCATTATCCC